GAGAATCCCATTTATTGATTTTAGGATTAGGGGATATAAATTTTGTGCTTTAAGAAATAAAGAGAAAATAATTTATTTGGAAGGTTATAACAAAGTGAATATTAAACTCAGATTTTGTTTGCATCAGAAATTCTAAATTGTAGTGGAGCAATGTATCATGGACTGACTCACTGCAGAAGGCTGAGACGTTAAGGAGGGAAGGTTCAAGAAAGGCTTCACAAAGGAAATAGCACTTTAGCGAGAATCCTCTATTAACTCAACAGCAAGAGCAAAAATTGTGAAACTGGTGATGGTTAAGAGCTGGAGGGATTACTGGTGCTGGTTGTTGGTGGTGGTAAGTAAGTCTATATGGCTGAAACATCAAACTCCTGGTAAGAGAGTGTCATAAAAAGAAGCTAGGAAATTAGGCAGCATTCGGAATATTTTATAATTAAACCAAGGAATTGGTAGTTTTTCTTAGAGGTGGTAGACCCCTTGGAGGTAAGTAATAGACCCATTGGAGGGTTTGTAAGCATGGGACTAAAATGATCAGACTTGTCTTTTAGAACAATAACTAATATAGAAGTGCAGTTATTTAAGGGGTTTATTTATGTGACTTTTTAAAAGACCTTTGAGGGTAGACTTAATTGGCAATGTCTTTCTTAAAGGCCTTTGTTTGTTTGCTTACTATTAAAGAAAAACCATACATGATAAAGGGTGAGGTGGGTATCTATACGCTTATGTACATATAACATTTAGCTATATTTTTGCCCAGTTCAGACAGTAAATGATTCAGTCTTTTCTTGCTTTAGAATTATATGAAATAATTGTTACTTTCATTAACACTTTCATTAGTGTTTAGTTCAGTGCTGTTCTCAGTCTATCACAAAGCACTGTGTTTATGAATATAGTTTCCTAGTATATTATGGCATGTTCCTCAATAATATAGAGGTTTTTTTCTGTTTATTTCCTAGTATTAAAATAACGGCTTCACTAGAGACAATAGAATGATGGTCAGGAAGTTAAAACAAAATTATATCTGTAGATACTTTGTTCCATATAGTTAAATAAGCTTTGGTGCTACTTCTATTCAAGAACTATTTGGACATTAATATTGATGTGGTGTTAAAAAATAAAACCTTTTGCTTTAGGCCACATCAAATCTTACTCTAAGATTAATTTATTCAACATATTTAATAAGAGGATTCCATAGGGATTCAGGGCATTACAAATATTAATCTGACAATAATTTTGTACTCTGAGGTTATAGTTTAATAGGGGAAATAAGATGTATTCTCTTTGTATGTTTATCATTAGAGTAAGAAATTGTAAGTGTTGTAAGACTACATAAAAAGGTAAAAAGAACTCGGAAGGAATATTTTTGGATGTGGGGCATCAGAAACTCTACAGGAGCTATGGCTTAAAATGTAAAGATGGATAAGATTTGGAGGTGTGCAAATGGAACAATCACTAAGAAGCAAAGAAAAAGTATATACAGATTGCAGAAAGATGGTTATTATGGGAATGTTTTCAGGTGGAATCTTGGAAAGCAACTTTCAATGGTGGGGTTCCCCCCCACACACTGCTGATGTAAAGCGTTACCATATCCATACAATGTTGGATTCTTTATTGTTTTATAAGATAGAAAAGAGATTTAGAAAAGAGATTTGGTTTTCCCATTTGTCATTGCTCAGAATTTTTTAGTTCTTTTATTTAACCTCTTTTTGTTTCTTATAGCCAGTGCTTTTTGTTCTTACATGTTGCTGAACCATGATCTCTTCCTCCCACCAACCTTTTTTTTTTGCTACTTGATAGCTACATTTTTTTCTTCTTCGACCCTAACCCTTTTCACTTTCCCAGGAAAAATCCATAGTCGTTTTTCTCAAAATTATTTGATACTGTCAACCTGTATATAAAATAGAGGAAACTAAAATTATTGAAAATTAACCTCCATTTCTCCATGCTAATCAATTACAGTACTCTTTCTTTTAGAGCCCAGAGACCTTATACCAGTGTGGTTCTTAAAGCAAGCATGGCTACAGAAGCAGCAACAACATCACCTGGGAACTTATTAAAAATGCAAATTATCATGCTCCACCCCAGACCTTCTGAATGAGAAATTCTGGGGGTGAAGCCTTTGTGGTCCTCCAGGTGATCCGAAGCATGCTGGAGTTTGGCAGACAAACTCCTTTGCAATACTCAATAGTTTCAGGCAGACAAATTGGCCCAGAATGTGCAACTCTTTTGACCTTTGAGGTAGGAAAGATTTTAAAGAAATAAATCTGAAGTAGCAAGTAACATTTAAAGAGTTTCAGTAGTTGACTCAATAATAATAGTTAACACTTACTGAGCCATTTTATGTGCCAGGCTTTTTGCTGAGTGTAGAGGTATTTTATCCATTTTATAGAAAATGAGACACAGAGGGGTTAAATATGTTCGTTGTCGTATAGCTAGAAAGTGGCAGATCCAGAATTTTAATTGAAGCAGCTAACTATAAAGCTGACATTTTTTGGTAGGAAATAAGTCCCTACTTGAAAATATCTTTTTAATACAGTTGGGTAGAATTTTTTTTGAAGTCAATTTTTTTTAAAGTGCACAACAAAGTTTTTATGTGTTTTGTGGACCACCTTTGTATCTCCGATGGGCACAAAAATTTCTAAGCATACTACTTTTTTAAACTTTTATTTTAATAGAGCATTCTTCATTTTAAGCTTCGATGTAGAAAGTATCTCATGATGTGTCAGTCTTTAAGAAAGCTGGATAAATAAAAATCCAAACTTAAATTAGGTATTTATTTGTGACACAAGTGTTCTCAGGGTTCATTATATGAGAAATGGAAAGTCATTTCATGTAAAACTTTTGTACATTTCTCAACATAATTTGTCATGTACCGGAGGAATACTTGGAGTGATTGTGCCAGGTATTCCAGAAGTACATTTACATTTTATAATTAAATTCAGCCACTCTTCTCTTTCCTTTGTAGTTTTTTTTCTTTTATATATTTTTTTCAGTGACATTGACCTAACATTCTTTTCAAATATTTAACCTTTGAACAGAGAAAATACAAAAATTCTAATTACATACGCTAGATGTATATATAAGTAACTGAGGATCTTTGTTAATGTGCAGTAATGAAATCATAAACAGTCTTTTCTACTTTCCATTTACTTTTTTAACATTCAAGCTTTTGAACAGGCAGTACATTCATACAATCCAAAAGATGTGAAAAATATATAGTAAGGTCTTCTCATCTGTTTCCTACAGCTACCCGTTTCCCTTCCCCACAGACACCTTTGTTTTAGTAGTTTCTCTCCCAGAGATATTTTATTAATATGCATATATACAAGGAAGTACAAATATATTTTTAATTATCTTTAACACCAGTAGAACACTACTGTGTTCCTTGCCTTTTGCACTTAATACATATTTTCAAGATATTGCCATCTCACTATATAAAGAGCTTCCCCATTTGTTTTTCAGCTATATTTGATTGTATGAATGATATAAATCTCTTTAGCCAGTTCTCTATTAATAGATTTTTTTGATTGTTAGCAGTCTTTTACTATTATTAACAATGCTGCAATAAATAACTTCCTATGTACATCATTTCACATGTGTGCCATTTTAATCTGGAGGACAGAATTGTAAAAGTAAAATTCCCTGGTTAAGGGCTTATATGCATTTGTAATAGCCAAATTACCTTCCTTAGGGGTCGTGCTAATATTCCTTTCCACCAACACTGTGTTGAAGTTTAGATTTCCCCACACCCTCACCAATAACCCATTTACTTTTGAATACAGTTTTTTTCCCTTAACACATGCATATATTTTGAGAACTCTATTACTACAGGAAATAGTATCATAAATGCTGGGAATTTTATGTTGGCATTATGCCAATGCACAAGATTCTAGTCTTTTTATCTTAAAGAAAAATATTCCTGTTTTATTAATAAGTTTCTAAGATTGTGATGATAAAATTTAGTAGTTTTTCAAAGAAAAGCAAAAGGTTTACTATTCTATATGTAAGTGCCTATTTGTTAAATTATTTTAAGTTATTTATGTTGAAGTATATCATAACAAGGATAAGGCAAGAATCTTGTATTAAAGCTCTATCTGATTTTTAAAAATAAAGACATAACATTCTTAGTTGCTTAAATATCAGCATTACAAATAGCAAAAATAAAATGGTGAAAAAGTTAAATTTTATCATACTTCTTTTTTGTTTCATTTGTATTTAATAATCTGTTGAATAGTAACAGCAGAATGCTTTCAATATGGCTTTAAGCCTGAAAGAAAGTAGACTCCTTTGAAATTAAATTTCACCAGTGTAGTTGAGTAGAATTTAAACAATTCACAATGCTGACTTTCAGTGCTTCTGAAAGCAGGAAGTGTATTACTGACACGCAGAAATATTCCAGCCCAAATAACATCCCTACTGCCATATGTGGTAAGAATTTGTCACAACCCACAAACCACTTCTGTAATGCAGTGAATAAGCAGAATTGGTCTTTGTTGGACATTTCCAATTTGGTATGAAAGAACTTTGTTTTGCAGTGTCTTATAAGTAATTATTAGCTTATGTCTTGAAGAGAGCCTGGCACATCATGGGTGCTCATGGTTTATTGAGAGGAGGAATAAAGAAACCTGTACATAATTCTTTTAAGCATGATTTTAACTTGGTTATTGGGACCCTTAGTTTAAACACAGAAATTACTTGAGTATGTTAAGGACTGAGTTAAATATTCTGACTCAGCTTATTAATGATATCTTTAAATTCTTCTAGTTGTCCTCTTTGCTGCTCATTTGAAATAAATATTAATCATGTTTGCACTTATGCTAAAAAAGAAATTGTCCTTGGGGGTTAATTATTAAGGGATGTGGAAATTAAGAGCTTAGAGAAACAGGAAAATCAGTTGTGAGGACTTGGGTCAGCAAAATTCGGTGAATACTTTGTAAATCATTAAAATTTTGAAAATATCAATGTTTCTCTAAACTTCAATTTTTATTTTTTTGTATTTTAAGCGATTAAGAAGATTGTCTACTAAATATAGAACAGAAAAGATATATCCCACAGCCACTGGAGAAAAAGAAGAAAATGTTAAAAAGAACAGATATAAGGACATACTGCCATGTAAGTTTGAAATGCCCTTGATAGAACAAATAGAAATGCTGATTAGCCTTTTGTAATCTAACTTGCTATATTCTTCCTGAGTCAGATTGTTAAGGAGTAGTAATTAACCTGTCTTTCAGAATACACTACAAGATTATAATTTGTAATTGTACTTCTTTTTCCTTCTGAGAGTAATTTTTGTTGTTGTTTAGTTTTTTCCTTTTAAGCATCACAGTTACTCTAATACT